GGTTCTAAACTATTTATGAACGACAAGATGTTCTTATATATGAGAAATGTCTTCTTCGTTTACTAGTCATCTCGCGAGAAGGAACCACGAGGAATTCTAAAGTCATCGTTTTGCCGGGTGTTCCTGACGCAACTCCGCGTCAAACTAACGCAACTCCGCGTCAAACTAACGCAACACGTCATTCCCGCGTCAAAAGAAACGTCCCGCGTCAAAGTCGCAGAGCATTTTCACGGACACATAAAAATTATTTAGAGCTAAAAAATCCTCAGAACAATCTAAACGGACAGATTTCGGGCGTGCGTTTGACGTTGTGGTGCGTCCCTGTCCTTTTTCACCACCAAAACAGGGGTTGAAAATCCAGTAGTGGAGTTACTGACAACATCTGAAACTATACCGCTAGCAGCGTTGTTCAAGTTTGAGGATGTCTGCTTCTGTTGAGCAAGAAATCGAGCAAGTAGGCGAAGCTATTGCAAGGGTGGAAAATGAAATCGAGGAGATCAACGAAAAACTCAAGAACCCCACCATTTCGGACGTTGACAAAGCTTACTATCGGCAAGAGAAAAGCCAGCTTCGGCAAAAGGAAAGCCAGCTTCGGCAAGAGAAAGACAGGCTTGGGCAAAAGAAAAGCCAGCTTCGGCAGAAAGAGCTGTTGTTGATTGAACGCACTCCAGTGCCAAACGCTGCATTTGATGTGGCAAGCATTGCACAAGGTAAGCATGATAATCGTTTCTCTACATTTTGTTTCATGTCTCTTCCCTCCGTTGATATTGTCCTTACCCACACAATGCATCTACTGCAATGTTCTGCATCAATACCTTTTCAATTTCCAATTTCCAATTGGCGGTACAATCTCTGAGTCAAGAACTGACAAGCATTGCACAAGGTAAGCATGATAATCGTTTCTCTACATTTTGTTTCATGTCTCTTCCCTCCGTCGATATTGTCCTTACCCACACAATGCATCTACTGCAATGTTCTGCATCATTACCTTTTCAATTTCCAATTGGCGGTACAAGCTCTGAATCAAGAACTGGCAGCTCTTCGAGACAAAGATGACACAGTTGCGTTCTCAAATGTGACTTCCACAGTATTTAATGAGGTCATGACAAGCTTGGACATTGAGCAAGTCGCAGCACCATGGCAGAACAGGCCACCTTGTCCTCAGTGCGACATGCCTTTCCAATGGGGTGCGGCAAAAGAAGATAACACAGAGAATCGCGAGGGATATATGGCATATCTCAAGGAGCTGGGATTTCCGGACTCGGTTCGTCTATTCGATGCTTCGAACGCTAAGGAGCTCCTGGAAACAGACCTGCCTCCAACCAAGCCAAGGATGAAAGGAAGCATTGATGTTGTTGTTCTTGCCGCCCACAATCCGAACATCTCAGGTGCGAAACACAATATTTTGATGGGTATCGAGTTAAAGAAGGATAAAAACCAACAACACGACAAAATACGAAGGCAGGTTGTGCTGCAGCATTGTGCTGCGTCCAGATTGAACCACAGCCATGGAGTTCTAACACTGATGACAGATCTAAATGATCGCTGGCACTTTTATTGGTTTAAGGAAAATTTTCAGCAAAAATCCAGGTATCTCATGAAGTTTGAGGCAACACGTTCCGAAGCAGTATACCTTATCAATCATTTTCTGGATGATCCCAATGAAAATGATTCTGTCCCAAAGTCCTTCCTGACACGAGCATCGTGGGATAGTGCTTTTGATTTTACTGGAAACAGCCCAGATAATGCTTCTTCCACAAGACAATCTGAATCTAAAAATACAAAGCGTGGAAGTCGCGGACAGTCATCAAATGGACGAAGTAACAATGGTGCAACGAGGCAAAT